ACGATATATTTATTTCACCTACCCTAATTGAAGGGAATAACCCGGGGGAAGACGGGTTGCGTTGAACGAGACAGGCGGGGTTGCCGCGGGACATTGGTGGGGGGTGGAAGTATGGATGTATGCTACCTACCGACTGATCACGCCCTCTTTACACGGTGAAAACACAGGACATCGGTTTACGGAACTTGGGAGCCGTTTTTACCGGTAATCTTCGTAATCTTTCGTTCCTTTTTGAACGGCCATTGAACGCGCAGGGACGTGCGAACCGCGTGGTTCATGGGTATATATGACGTTCAGTAAGTGTTGGCGGCGTGCTTTGCGATAGTAGCGTTGAGTGCAAACACTTACAGAAATTATGTAGTGATACGAGCAGGGGCGAGCGCGGCCCCTTGGGTGCGTGCGCAGTTCCTTTATTGCTTGGAGGAGAGAAAAGGAGGCATGGGGTTTAGAGAATTTTTGTCCCCCATGTGCTCGCGGAGATGTCGAAACGCGACGCGTTAAACGGACTGCAGTTTTAGCGCGGCGGTGTCTTTAACGGAGTGACGGGGCGCCGCGAGCGAAGTAATCGTGCGTTGGTTGGACGTGCATCTCGTGACCAAAGGTTTCGCCCCCCGGGCGGGGACCACCCGGTCCTCCGGTACTTTCACCGCGCGCGCGTGTTACAATTTTTTTGTCCTTTTTTTTCTAGATTTGTTGTAAGTGAGTGGGTGCGGCCTAGCTTTGTATTACATACTAGGGCGATGTCGAGATATGGACCCAGAGACGACAACGTAATTTCGACCGAGTACCACCAGCTTTGCTCGGTAGCGCGCGCGCTCTCGCCGTGGTGCGTGGGCCGCGTAGGCAAGAACAACTCGAAGACCGACGTGGCTGGGGTCCGATTGCCTATATTCTCAAAAAAGTTTGTTGGTTCACTCTCTCGGAGAGGACAGTCTGACTTCCGAGCGGCCGGGGAGAGTCACGAGAGCAGGCGGGGGCGCGTTGCAGAAGCGCCAGTGGTTGAGATTGGAGCATGGGGAAGGCTCCCGGTGCAAAATATACTAGGTAAGTGTCACGGTATTTTTCTCTTTCGTCTGAGTTTGGACTTTTTGTTCGCCAAGAAATCGTTTATGGATGTACTGGTCATTTTGTTCTTTTATTTGCAAACTTGTGTGGCGGTGAGACATTTGGTCAGGTAGTTTTCTGTTGAGTAGATGTGAAGTCGAGCAAAGGTAACGGCAGCAGACTCTCTGCAGGTATTCTGAGAGTACCCCGAACGTTCCGTGGTCAACTACGAAAAAGAGCTGAGTAATTTTTTTGCGGTTCTGCCCTCGACGGGGGCCCTGGGGGGATACTTCCAGCGTGTGTGCGTGGAGTATGTTTTATGCGTGAAATTGGGTCCGATCGGGATATACCGGCACTCCGCTAATAGGCTGGCGGGGAGAACATGTCTGATTGGTTGTCTGACTGCCTTTTGCTTTGTTATGTTTGTTTTTGCCCTATTCTTCTTTGTTAAGCGACCTTGGGTCTCATGAAAGGCGCTATATAAATCCAAGATATTATTATTATTAAAGCACCGCCTCTGGCGGTCAGTAGGGGCGAAATAGAACCCATTGCTTTTTTGTCGAGGGAACCTGAGCACAGCTTACTTCCGGGTTTTAGACGCGTCACTGCACCACTAAGTTGATGCGATTTGATTGGATTGTGAGGCAAGGGGAAGCCAGCCGCCTCTGGCTTCCCTTGGCATGGCTCTGACTAATCACAGGTTGGCAGGGGCATGACATGAGCCTTGTCTGATTGGTCAATCCCTCAATTTCTTTTCACCAAGGGAAGCCAATTTCGGCTAGCCTCCTCTCGCAACAGAGAGTGCAATCTACTGTTTCATCATAACATCTAGAGGGCCGCTGTTTCACTCTTTGTAAAATACTCAATGAGAATGGGGGAGAGACGGGCCGGCAGCAACACACTACAAAGAATTTCCGAAACTAAACAAAGTGTTTTTATTAGGGCTGTCAGTCGATTAAAATATTTTATCGCGATTAATCGCATGATTGTCCATAGTTAATCGCGATTAATCGCAAATTAATCGCAAATGTTTTATCTGTCCTAAATGTACCTTAGAGGAATATTTTTCAAGTTTTTAATACTCTTATCAACATATGAGTGGACAAATATGCTTTATGCAAATGTTTATTATCATTTGAACAATGACAAATATTCTCATGAATATTAAACACAACAACCTCTGAACATTACAAATATTCGCCTCAATTCAATCTGGAACCTCTCTCATACAATACAAAGTGTGTGCGTGCGTGAGTGATTGAATGTGTGTGTGTGTGTGTGTGTGTGTGTGTGTGTGTGTGTGTGTGTGTGTGTGTGTGTGTGTGTGTGTGTGTGTGTGTGTGTGTGTGTGTGTGTGTGTGTGTGTGTGTGTGTGTGTGTGTGTGTGTGTGTGTGTGTGATGGATCGTTGGAACTATGTGCAACTCAAGGCATATGCTCGAACGGGAGCTGCCTGGACGCTGCAATCATGTTGCGCGCACTATCCGTGCTGAGTGTGCTGACTTTTCCCACAATGTCCCACTGTCTGGCTACCTGCATAAAGTGAAGTGCTCGGCGCAGTTGTCGGCGAAATGTCACTCCTCTGTTTTCGTTTAAACAGCTCCTTATATCCGTTAGCGCAGCTAGCTAGCACCAGATGCTAACAACAACAACAATACACGTAAGGTCTCTCTCTCGCGCCACACATACACACACCCCCCCGGTCCTCCCGATGGCCAATCGGTGCCTGCCGGTGAGCGTGGAATTGTGGTCCGCCTGCCGCAAGCGGACGGCAGGAGCGGGGCTGTCAGCATCAGCTTGTCGATGGTATTTTAAACTCGATGCGCTCTGAAACTACGGGGTGGCCGAGGTCAAAAAATACACATGCGTTAATCGCCTTAAAATAATTTAACGTTAACGCATTATTAACGCGTTAACTTGACAGCCCTAGTTTTTTATTTATTAAAATTACTACAATCTGAAAAAACAAGGGAAGCCTGGCTTCCCTTGGCCTCCAGGAGAAAACGCCACTGGTCCATGGTGTCATTTGAGGGCAATAATTGTAGTTTGTGAATACAAAAAAAGCAAAGAGAATAAACTACAGCTCTCTGTTTGATGCAGGGTTTGTGCAGGACTATTTCTTGCCTCTCTAGCACTTGCAAGTCAAACACCTGAGACTCCAGGAATCTCTGCTCCCAGCAAAGAAATAGTGCAGCACATAATCCCTCTGTAAAACAGTTGTGCTGGTTGGCAGATGATCCCTTTTTGAAAGAGCTGCTGGCTCCAGCTTTATATTTAGTGTACAGACATGAAAGTGGTATTGATCCTTTCAATAAGCATCGCGGGGCTCCCGCTCCATACAGAAGGTGAAGAGGACTCTCTAAAACAAGTGGGACCTTTGAAGTATCTCTCCTTCAGAAGATGTTAGACAGCAATGGTCTCACAGCCACTTTCACTAATAGTTCATTCAATATGTGGGTCTATAATCTTGGTTTGGGAAAATGATTCATGTGTCAAGCTTTCATCATAGCTTTAAATAGGCTCTTACTGAGATATATGAATAATAATGGGATAACTATTAGATGTGACTAACCAATCATATGGAGAGCAGTTAGACATATTATGCTCAAGATCAGGTTGTATTCGTTTTTTATGCCGTCACTGGGACATGTCTCCATGGTTTAATGTTCAAAAAGCTCTTCATTTTTCTCCTACTGCCTTTGCTGCAGCACCTCTTTTCACCCTCTGTCTGAAACCAGAGCCCAGTCTGCTCGGATTGGTTAGCTGGCCGGCTCTGTTGTGATTGGTCAACCACTTAAAGATATCCCGCCCCTTAGCCACGTACAATGTGTTGGAGTTCTAGCCAATAGAAGAGTTAGTGTCCTTCTGGAGGGAACTTTGGGATTTTAGCCTTTTCAAACCATTTAGCACAACAACCTATATAATACATTACAGGAAAGGGAAAACACCCCAAAAAATGATGTGGCCTCTTTAGAAATATTCAGATTCTTATTCATAGTGAAGCTTTTGTGACTACACAAATAAGATGCAGTCACAGGATATAATGACAGTTGTGTCATGAACAATTATTTAAAGTGGACCTATCATGCTATATTTGAATAATATAGTGTAGGACCATACCTATATAAGGCATATTTATACTTTTTATTTTTCAAAATACCAAACAGATCATGCATTTTAGCCATTCCTCATTTCGCTCAATTTAATACTGTCTTTGCATGGGCTGATTCTGTGAGAACAGCACCATCTACAGGCCTGGCATATGTACTACAGCGTCTCCAGCGCTTTCGAATGGGAATGTCCGTGGCTGTCTCCTCCTGATTGGTGGAGTTGGCCCAATAGCCGTAGCGCCACTTCTGTGACGTCATAGAAGTGTTCAAATCTGGATCAGTCTGTATCAGATCCGTTGCAGCCCCTTTTTAAGAGATTTGGGTATGGAGGAAAATAGAGAGGGTTGTGTTTTCTGACACTTGGTGAGTTCCCTGGAACACCGGGGACACATATTCATGTATAAAAGACGTACAAAAGTGCATTTTGCATGATAGGTCACCTTTAAGCAGTAGCTGTAACATTAGGTAAGCTCATAGGGGTGTATTGGTGTGAGTTCTGCCACCTACAGGTTAGAAAATGGCTAAATGCAGCTTCAGGGTTAATATTAACAAGATGAACCAAGGGGGGTAGGTTTGACATCATATTATAGGATCATTAATGTACTACTGTAGACACAAATATCAAAAAGCTGGATTGGTCAGATATCAGGTTTTTTCCTCACTAATTAAATGTGATCAGAGCATCACTAAGAGGCTGGAAAACAAAGCCTGCTAGCGGCTCTATATTTAAATCAGTGAAGGATGGAGAAAGAGAGACCAATGGTAGGGCTGAGAATGGTGATGAAGAAATGAGAAAAAAGATGGAGTAAAGGGTAGAGAAGAGGCTTATGCTGAGCCTTGCACTCACCACTCTGCAGTGTCTGCTTGCCTCCAGAGAGAACCCCGCTTGGCAGCATGCCAGTGGGCGTCAGGCCTTTAAGCGTCAACACATTTTCACTCTCCTCTCTGCAGGAAACACAGAGGCAGGCAAACAGGTCACCAAACTCCCCTGAACCATGTTTCAAATGGAGAAACAACTTAATGCCCCCATTTTGACAACACACATGAACACAGCACAAAAACACCAGGAACATTTAAACACACAAACGTAAAGTCTACCTGAGAACTGAGAACATTTTGGCCATTTTCCCAATAGCACGGATCTTGTTTTTGATCACCTCCTTGCGTGCTGCAGCTGCATTGGCTACAAAGAAATACATAAACATACTGTCGTTATAGTCTTATTTTATACAATAGTCAGTATAATAAGCCTCAATATATCCTGAGAAACTTGTGTTACGGGTTCTATTAGACCTAAAATACATATTTCTTGATACATAGAATACTGTAATAAGTACAATTTGTACAGTGCTGTGACTAAAGGCCTACTATAGATTATATTATTATAACCTTTTTGTGAGAAAACGATTTTTTTATCTGTTGTAATAAACATTTTCTTAGTCACACATCTTTGTAATTTCTGATGAAATACAAGCACCTATTTTAGTTCTCTGTCATTAACACATCAAGATAGGAGAATTTACTGCATTCATTGTAACAACGTTGAATTTAAAAATAAAAACACATACAAATTGTAATAATTTAACGCCTGGTTTTCTACCATCCCTGTTGCAAAAATAATCCAAACTTTCAAATTAATTCGACACAAGAAAAGAAAACTCAAAATCCAGCTCAGGTGTGCAGATGTCCTTCAAGCAAACTAAAAATGTACTCATGTGAAATATAAAAAACATGACATTTTACCATCAAATATCTCCTCTTCCTCATTCATCATGAGTTCATCATCAGAGCAGATGCTCAGCACATTCACCAGCATTTCTGTGACTGGGGAGGAGAAAGAGTGCAGAGCAGAGTCATTAAGCAAAGAGCCACACGTTAGATTAGTATGAAGTGTTGTATTAGAAACACTGACACATATCCAAAAGCTTTTCAAGTTTCTACAGAAACACCTACCTTTCTCTCCAACAAATGGCAGAGACCAGGTGAAGACATCCATGAAGTTGGGCAGCCAGTATGGATGGGGTGAGCAGTTGAACTGTCTGATGTTCATGACATTATTTTCATATTTCAGTACAGCAGCTGTTGAGAAAGCAGACAAAGTGTACTTCATCCTGTCCTGTTAAAGGTCACCTATTATGTAAAATCTACTTTTTCATGTCTCTTCTACATCAACATGTGTCCCCTCTGTGGAAAGAGATTCTGAAAGTTTCAGGAAAAAAGATTCTCTCTCTTTTTGTCCTGATTCATTTCTATAAATCAGATTTTGGCCACTTTATGATGTCATAACGATTTTTTGTCTTGTGTAACCATTAGCCAATCACCATCCAAGGTAACCCCCCCCCCCCAGCTTATCACCTGAATCTCCTCCTAGAGCACCATTGTGTTCTTTTTAACAAAATATCTCTCAGAGGGGCGTGGGGAGGGGCTCCTTATTTTCATCTAAAGTAACAGACAGAGAATCAGCACTTTTGAAACAGGGCTGAAACAGAGGGGATTATGGGTAATGCTGCAATGATCCGTTTGGTGTTTCGAACCAAACACTTCAGAGACATGTTTTTGTATATATCCGAGACCTATAATATATTGATGAAAAATAATATAATAGGAGACTTTGAAAGAACTGTGACTATGATACTGAAATACATATTTATTAGAATCAAATGTGTGCACTGGGCAGGATATTTCCAACAATGTCCTCTCGTTAAATGTATTCATGTTCAGTGATGTTAAATGTTTTTGTACACGCAGTACAGTTTGTGTGAGGATAAAAGCAGGGTATAAAATGAGACGTTCCACCACTAGATGTCCTAGCTGAGGCCAGGGAGGCTGACACTGTTACATCAAGAGGGATAAAGCCACATGGAGATAGTCAGCCATGCCGACAGTCCCTCCCACGCTACCCATCTCCCATAGCCCATAGCAACCAAGACACAGATCTGAGAACACAAACAAACGGGGGCTCCCTTGATGCAGTCTTCTGCCTGCTCACAAGCTAAATGCAGATACATTAACCCATACACTGCAGTTTGCGCTTGTGAAACCATTTTAAATGGGTGAAGCAGAGGACCCCATGGTAGTCATTTTGTCAGATGTGAGACGTGTTTTTCGTTAATTCATGTTCACATTCTCATGAAATGTCAGCGATGCGGTGTGGCAGAGATACTGGGCTCTTTTTCACAACATGCTTAGCGTTGTCATATTTAATGTGACAGTAAATTCACGTCTCGATGCCTGCCTGCCTACTTGGGAGTTTTCAACAGGAATGTCATTATTAGCTGGAACGCAGTACAGTGAGGGCCAGCCTTACAAACGCTAACATCAGTGTGTGAGACAGTGTTTGATGGTCGCTATGTTAGTCAGACCATTTTGTTTTGTATTTATTTTATTCTAATATGGTGCAACTATCACCAAACCTATTTTCCCCTGGGGTTATTCAAGTATTTTGATTGAATCACTTTTACATCTGAAATCAATCCACTGATCCATTTCCTACATACATAGTTTGTGTTGCTTCACATGTGTTTCTTACTCTTTTCTTTTCTTTTCCTCTATATGTGTTTCAAACGTAGCTTTTCAGTCCTGTAGTTGCAGGATGTTGACACAGCTTGATGCATGCGTTTATTAAAGAGTATTGTAGCTGCTTTAGTGTGCACTGGGTTCATAGCGTTTCTGATCGAGCACGATGGAGAGAGTGACATTTGATGTGCAGATAGATGTTGGTGATGGAAGGAATTAGCATTACAACTTGTCAAGTGGTTATAAATGCAGCTTAAGTTTGGACCTGGTCTTGTTCAACATAGCTTTGGACCACTTAGATGTCTTTCTGGGACACGAATATGATACAAATGCCAGAAACAGAACTGTACACAGACTTACCTTTGTTGTTATAAACATCCAGGTAGTTTGGTGCTGAGAAGATGGTGATGAGGGAGGGGAATCCAGTGGTCTGACTTTTACGATACATCCGGTAGCTTCAAGGGGGGCAGGTGGAGGTACAGACAGAAACAAGGCAGAACTTGTTCTTATATTTGTAAAGAGGATTATATTGTGTTAATGTGGATATGTATGTTTTTAATGTAATAGTGTAGGGATAACATACCCTGCATCTTGTGCTTCATGTGCTCGGATGATCGATAATAGGTTATTGCTCTGTAGGAACTCGCATACAGCTGGATAACTGGAAAAGAGTCAAAGAAAATAGGTTGAGAAACGACACAAGTACACATCAATTCAATTAAGCACAACATCTTACCATAACTTGACAACATGTATTCCTATGACCCAACAGAAGTACATAAGAGCTGCCTGTTTCACATACAGTTTCAGCCACCAGAAAATACAAAGAAGTTTCATTCATTAAGCATTAATGCATTAATGGAAGCCTCGCTGAGGATGATGCAACGGTGTGAAAAACCAATCCAACGGCTACCTGTTGCAGAGGAAAACAAACTAACCCAGTACACGCAGGAGTCAGGGCTTCCTTCCTTCCAGATCTAATCTGGCAGGAAATGTGCCTGAAAGGAAGGGAAGCCTGCGAGGTAGCTCAGGCTAACTGAGTGTGATGCTACACTCATTGAATAAAACATGTGTTACCTATATCTAACCTCTGCTCTGTTTCTGCACCAAAACACATGCTTAATGTCTGATTATGTTGCCCTAGGACAACTTTTTTGGGGAATACAATTGTTTGCCCCAATAGTCCTGCTGCTGCGGCGGCTAATATATCACAGCTAGCGCCATTTTGACAACCAAGAGGATGCCCTTCAAGCCAATCCAGGTAAATATTTGCTGGTGGCTATTTGTATGTCTTCCTTACTTATTTTATTTTTTAAATTCTTGAGACTGCCAAGGCACACAATGCAATGTATTTGTGTAATGGTGAAGTATGAATATAACAGGGGTCTCATTTTGGCAGCGGTGTTTGGTACTCCAACTTCTGGCTCCCCTCAAAGTTCCCCTGAAGCCCTCTGTACCGCA